TTTAAGAGTCTCGCTCTTGTTACCCAGGCTGGAGTGCAGTGGCATGATCTCGGCTCACTGCAACCTCCGCCTCCCGGGTTCAAGTAATTCTCCTGCCTCAGCCTCCCGAGTAACTAGGACTATAGGCACGCACCACCACACCCGGCTAATTTTGTATTTTTAGTAGAGACAGGGTTTGGCCATGTTGGCCAGGCTGGTCTCGAACTCCTGATCCACCTGCTTCAGCCTCCCAAAGTGCTGGGATTACAGGCATAAGCCACCGTGCCCAGCCTTGCATTTTCTAATTTTTTAAAAAGCACATTTACTTATTTATTTACTTTGAGGTGAGGTCTCACTACATTGCCCACACTAATCTCCAACTCCTGGTCTCAAGATATCCTCCCACCTCAGCCTTCCGAGAAGCTGGGATTACAGTCCCACGCCACCACGCCCTGCTTGCATTTTTTAATTTCTCTGACTACTGTCACTCCAATTTAGTCAGGCCTCACTAGCCCCTAGGGTCTTTCCTGAGCCTAGGTTAACACTTGAGTTTCAAGAGAAACACCCTAGTCTCCAGGGTGAGTACTTACTAAATGAATTAGATGAGGATTAGAGTGGCCAAAGAATTCTGTTAAATCCCTGGATAAAATGAAATTAAGGGAGGGTCAGTATGGGGCCTTGTATTCTCCATTAAGAAAAAAAACAAGGGAGATTTGGTCATATTGATGCAATCCCCATTTTCGTAAAGTGGCCAGTGAAGCTGGCAGGTCTTATCTTTCCTTGGGCTGGGTGCAGTGGTTCACACCTGTAATCCCAGCACTTTGGGAGGCTGGGGGTGGGGGGCGGATCACCTGAGGTCAGGAGTTTGAGACCAGCCTGACCAACATGGCAAAACCCTGTCTCTACTAAAAATACAAAAAAAATAGCTGGGTGTGGTGGTACATGCCTGTAATCCAAGCTACACGGGAGGCTGAGGCAGGAGAATCACTTGAACCAGGGAGACGGGGGTGGCAGTGAGCGGAGACCGCCCCTCTGCACTCCAGCCTGGGCAACAGAGACTCTGTTTCAAAAAAAAAAAAAAAAAAATCATTTCCTTGGTGCGAGCTGGAGGGTGGAGGAAGAGGGAGCAAACTCAGGCCCTCCCCTGTGCCCCATGCAGAAAGACACACTGTGGAGCCAAGGTGTAACCTGATAAGAAACTGGTTAAAGAAAGGTCACACAGGGTGTGCCCAGGAGGGCAGAGGCAGGCATTATCCATTCTCCCTGGTGACCTGGCCCCAGAGGCCTTTATCCTTTCAGTCTCCAAGGCAAGGATTTCCGAAGGTTTCAGGGAAAAATGCCCGAGCCCATCCCCCACGACTTGCAAAACTAGTCTTTTACATTCAAGAGCCCAAAACTTAGGTCAATGGCAGGGGCAAGGGTTTCACAGACCTCTCTCCTGGTAGCCTTGGTGCTCCAGAGAAGAGATCAGCTCAGTGGACAAACATTTGGCCAACTCTTCACAATTGCCAGGGTGGGGAACCAGCTGAGTTGTCAACTGAGAAGCCACCAGACCTAATTAATTAACCAAGGTGCTGACGTGTCCACAGACACACACACATACACACACCATCGGCTGCTGAATCTTGATGCAAATTAGTTAAATGGGGCCACCCGAGAAGGTCAGAACCCCAAGCACAGAATCTCTCCCCTCCCCTTCTCCCCTGGGGTCGGTCAGTTTCCTTTGAATTCCGCCCTGACCACCCATTGCTCTCCTTTTCTTATACTAAGCAGGTCCTCCCGGCCCCCAGGCGTCCACTCCCCACACCGCCCTGGGCGTTCGGACTGGACGTTCTTCCCACCTCCTGGCTCAGACCGAGCGATTCCGCTCCAGGTAAAGCGGGATGACTGCCACCGATGCTGCTGTTATCGTGGCCATTTATTATTTTCCGGAGGAGGAGTTTTCCGCCTTCTCCCTTCTCCTCACCCCACCCGCGTGGGGCATTCCCGCAGCCGGCGATCGCCAAACAGTCCCTGATACTAGCGTCTGGGGACCAGAACGTCCCTCCAGCCGGCGCTGCAGGCGCGGTCCTGCCTCTTTCCGTTACTGCGGGCGTTGCACTGGGGTAGGCGTCCAGAGCTGGGGCCGGGGAGAGGGAACCTGCCGGCGACCCCCCACCACTCTGTACTCACCGAGGTCCG